TCCTCTTCACATCTCCTCTTTTATCTCCCCTTTTCTTTCCTCCTTGGTGCTGCTCTGCAGCCTCCCTCCCCCACCAATAAAGACCTTTCGTACAAAAAAAAAAAAAAAACCAAAAATACATTAACAATGACTTTTAGGCCAGGCACGGTGGCTCATACCTATAATTCTAGCACTCTGGGAGGCCGAGGTAAGAGGATCACTTGAGATCAGGAGTTTGAAATCAGGCTAAGGAAAGTGAAACTTCATTTCTATTCAAAATAGAAAAATTAGCCAGGTGTGGTGGTACATACCTATAGTCCCAAATACTTGGGAGGCTAACCCAGGAGGATTATCTCTTTGGATGTGTAGATTTGTATCTTGAATCCATTATTTTTGGGAATATTATTTCTTCCCCTTTCTCTATCTCTTGTCCTATTTGGAGTCTAATTAGGTATATTTGGTACACTTGGTAGTGTCCTGTCTTAGGCGCTATTACTTTTTCTTCATTCTTTTTTAATTTCTGTTTCTCAGATTCTATAGTCTCAATTGTCTTGTCTTCAAGTTCACTGATTCTTTTCTCTGCCTGTTTAAATCTTCCGTGGAACCCCTCTTGTGAAATTTTCATTTCAGTTATTATAGTTTTTAATCCTAGACTATTTCTATTTGGCTCCTTTTTGTAATTTCTGTCTCTTTATTAATATCGTCTATTTGGTGAGACATTGTTCTCATAGTTTCCTTTGGTTATTTATATGTGGTTTCTTTTAACTTTGCAAGCATATATAAAAGAGTTAAAGTCTATTAAGTCCAATTTGGGCTTTCTCAGGGAAATAATTTCTTTTGTCCTGTGTGTTGACCATACTTTTTAATTTTGTGGTTTTATTTTACTTTGTTTTGTTTTTGTATGCTTCATTGTTTTCATTAGAAACTGCACATTGAAAATATTATAATATGGAAAATCTGGAAATTAAATTCTCTACCCACACCTCCCAACCCCAGGATTTTTGTTGTTTGTCGTTGTTATTTAGTGACTTTTTTGAACTAATTTTTTCATACTCCAATTTTATTATCCCTACTGTTCTAATATTATAAAGTTTATATATTTTCATATAGGGCTACTGAAGTCTGCTCCAATAGATTAGTCTCAGCTAATGTTATGACATAGAATTCCTTACTCTGCCATATTTGGTAGTATCACTTCCCTGCAATCATTTAAAAATATAAATTAAAACGATTAGTAATAGTAACAGGTGCTGAGTCTTTGTGTTAGATGATGGGCTCTGGTCGTGAAGATTTTTACACTTTTAATGACTCCATAGTATTGTACGTTCTTTTCCTTCTTCCAATAAGTATCCGTTGTCATCTAACTCCTCAGACTGCTAGGGAACAGAGACCAGAAAATGCAAGTAGTATGGTATATTTGTGACTTCTAAATACAATGTGAATACCGATTCCCACATAAAATTTGCCTTTGGTCTAGACCCATTCTAGACATACGACTGTGCCCTCCTTCTAAGGCATATTTGGAAACTTAGTCCCAGCCTTGATCAACTTGGAAAGTGTGCAAGTGGATTGAATAAGCACTGTTTATGTGGCATGTTTCCCCAGTCCAGACAATTAGCCACAATGCCCTGAAGCTAACCTGAGGGATGAAGTCTTTTCACATTCTATTTTTGGTCTTTCCTCTGCTACATGTGACTAGCAGTGATAGCCTGCTCTAAAGAGACTTCATGAGCACTAACCATGAAAATGAAGTATTATTAAATGCTAATCTAGTTATATATAATGTAGAAATAAAAATGTAAAAGTGGTAAAAAGGGAACCATGTTTGGCTGAGGCCAAAGGAATAGCCTTTACAGGAATTATATTCCACAAATCCTTGGGGAATGACGTTTTTCCAAAGGAAATCTTAGAATTTAGTGAGGAATGCTCTTTTATCCTTTCCTCCACCAGCCCTTTGAAAAACAGGAAACAATCTTGGATTAAGCATTTTTATAAACATTGAGTAAAATGCTTATGATATGGAGCTTACATATTGTTACCAAGTATTTACTTTTCCGAAAATAATCTCCAAAAACTTTATGTAGGAAAATTTTTGTATGATACTGCACATTGTTTTAGGTTGTTCTGTTTCTTGAAAGCGTGGTAAAATAGGTTACATTTGATAAAATGCCCAAATGCTACTTAAAGTACAGCCTTCCCTCAGAGGTCGCTGACTTACTGGAGAGCTGCCTTGAAGGATCCCTTAGCTCATTTAGTCTTTTAGCAAATAATTATTGGTTGGCTCCTATATGCCGAGCTTTCTGCTGGATTGCATCAAATTGTACAGATGTAATGGAATGTGTAGAGAAATGTTTTTGAGCAGAAGATGGATAAAGAAAGGAAACCTCCATTTTATGTTTTAAGCCTATTCCTGAAAGGTCAGCAGAAGATATGAAAAAAGTAAAACATATTTTTTTCAACCCCGTAACTTATTATGTGCCTACTTCAAACTATAACACCATATTAAATTTTAAGTTATCTTGGAGATGGTTTGAGAGACCCTTGTCTGAATCTGATCCACTAGAAAAGATTGTTTCCAAGACACGTGTAGTTATCAGTAAACTGACTGCTTTTTTCCTGGGAGAATCAGCCCCAGAAACACTATGTAAAGTAAGAGTGAATCTCAATAGGAAGGAGGCGTCCTTTGGGTTGCTGTTACACATACCACCCAAATCATGGCTAAGCCTCCCCTCATTCACTCACTCAGCAGTTACTGAATAACGACTAAATGCATGGTGTTATCATGGCTCTAAGTGAGGGAGTTCCTGGGCTCAGGAACTTAAAATCTTATGAATATCTTATAAACAGACTATAAATAAAAGTACTTTGTGGGTGCATTCATCTTGCAGAAATCCAACAAGCTGCATTACAATTTATGTCCTTTTCTCTATGTGTGTTATATGTTGGAAATTCAAAACTGGAAGATGTTACTCCCAGCTGAGAGAATGAGGGGAATGCCTTTACGAGAAAGTTCATTTATGGCCTTATGTTGTATTGTTACTGAGAGTTGATCATAATTAGGATAAGGCAGTTTGATTTTCAGGCAAGCAGATGATGTCATCATCATCGTCATTATCATCACCATCAGAGTAGCTACCACTTACTAAACACGAATTATGTGCCAGCGCCTGGTGTCATCTGAGTTCTTTGTGCATACTAACCTACTTAATCCTCATAGCAGCTCTGTGAAATTAGGTTACTAGTATCGTCGTCTTTTGACAGAGGCAGAAATTGAGACACAGTGAAGATGAATGACTTGTCCATGGCCTTTCAGCTAAACAAGTGGTGGAGCCAGGATGCAAACTGCTGGGTCTAGCTTGTCTTTTATCCAAACGGTAGCAATTCTCAAAGCGTGATCCAGGAAACTTTGTGGGTCCTAAGACCCTTTCAGGGGGTTCACAAGGTCAATCCTATATTCATAATCATATGAAGACATTATTTTCCTTTTTCACTCTGGAATTTTTCCACGTTCATGATGGAATTTTCCAGAGGCTGTCTGATATGTGCTGTCACAATAGATTGAATGCAGACCCCAGGTGTCTTCTGTGAAGCCAGATATTGCAGGTGGTCACAAAAATGGAAAACAATGCCATTCTGCTCACAATATTTTTTGTTTGTTTTGTAAAATGTATTTGTCATAAATGACATCATTCACATTGACATTTCATGGGCTTTTTTTTTTTTTTCGACACAGAGTCTCACTCTGTTGCCAGGACTAAAGTACAGTAGGGTCATCATAGCTCAGTGCATCCTCCAACTGCTGAGCTCAATTGATCTTCCTGCCTCACACTCCCGAGTAGCTGGGACTACAAGCATGTGCCAAGATGCAGCTAATTTTTTCTATTTTTAGTAGAGATGGGGTTTTGATTTTGTTCAGGCTGGTCCTAAATTCTTTGAGCTAAAGCAGTCCTGCTGTGGCCTCCTAGAGTGCTAGGATTACAATTGTGAGCCACTGCTCCTGGCCCTATTAGTGCTTTTAATAAATCAATAAATACTTTAATAAACTTTTTCTCAGTTCCAATTTTTTTTTTTTTGAGGCAGAGCCTCAAGCTGTCCCCCTGGGTAGAGTACTGTGGCATCACAGCTCACAGCAACCTCCAACTCCTGGGCTCAAGGAGCCCTGCCTCTGCCTCCCAAGTAGCTGGGACCACAGGCGCCCGCCACAACGTCCAGCTATTTTTTGGTTGCAGCTGTCATTGTTATCTGGCAGGCCCGGGCTGGATTTGAACCCGCCACCCTAGGTGTATGTGGCTGGCGCCTTAGCCACTTGAGCCATAGGCGCCGAGCCTCAGTTCCAATTTTTAATATGACAAATATCTATAGATATAATCCACAAGCACCAAAGCTCTTTTTTTTTTTTTTTTTTTTGAGACAGAGTCTCAAGCTTGTCCCCTGGGTAGAGTGCCCTGGCATCATGCTCAGAGCAACCTCCAACTCCTGGGCTCAAGCGAGTCTCTGGGCTCAAGTGAGTCTCCTTCCTCAGCCTCCCAAGTAGCTGGGACCACAGGCGCCCGCCACAACGCCCGGCTATTTTTTGGCTGCAGCCGTCATGGTTGTTTGGCGGGCCGGGCTGGATTCGAACCCGCCACCTTGGGTGTATGTGGCTGGCGTCTTAGCCACTTGAGCCATAGGCGCCGAGCCAGCACCAAAGCTCTTATGGAGTCCTCAATAACTTATAGAGTACAAAGGGCTCCTGAAACCAAAAGATGCGAGACCCACACCCCTATAGGGTTCTGCTTTAGGGGGAGTAGCTGCCAAAAACCTGGTTTTGTGGTCTTTGTAGCAACTTTGGAGTCCATTCAACGTCTGTTTGATCTGTCAAAATGTATTCTTCCTTTTCTCCTGTGAAGCTAAGTACAAAAATGCCAACATCCTGGGGTGGCTGTGAGAACTGAATGAGAGAATTCAAGGAAAGTGCTTAGTGCAGAGTAAACACTCAATCTGGGGCCCAGAGCCAGGAACTTCTCTTGTGTTACCTGCAGGTGATGGAATTTTACTGCCAGTCCTGTGAGACCGCCATGTGTCGGGAGTGCACTGAAGGGGAACATGCAGAGCACCCCACGGTCCCGCTCAAGGACGTGGTAGAGCAGCACAAGGCCTCACTCCAGGTCCAGCTGGATGCTGTCAACAAGAGGTATGGCACCCCTCCCAAGCCTCCACTGGCTGCCTGTACATGGGGCCTGGCTTCATGGTCTCTTGTCTTAGTGCAGTGATAGGTTCATGTTACCCTTGAGGTGTCAGGCTGCATGTCCTAGTAAGTTCTTTGATTATGGATCTGTCATCATAAAATAGTGAGTGATGAAAGTTGTCCCCTTTTATCCCTTGGTAAAATCCCAACCTCCTTATGTTATAATTAGTGGCATTTTTATTTGAATATCTTAGTATAATTAAATGAATTAAAGTACACTCCAAGCAAACACTCTCAGATCTCTGAATACATGCCTAAAAGCAGGCTCTCTGAAGAGCCTTCCTTAGCTTCTGCTCTTGACTGACTCACAGGCCCACTGTGTCGGCTGTAGTTGACTCCTTTCCCTCTGAACCCTGTAAAATAGTCTTGAGCAGCATTGCTCAATTTTCCTCATCTTTTCTGCTTATAGGCTCCTTCTTTGGAAATGAAGGAACAGAGTAGCAGTGTGATGCATGAGAAAGACCAAAGAGAAGAAATAAATGAACAGCCAGTTGGAAAGCAGATAAAGTCTCTTCACCGATAGCCATAGTGAGAAAAGTGATGCTTATATACGAGTTAAAAGAACTTGGAAACATAGAAGTCCCTAGTTTGGAAAAGTTTTTTATGTGGCAGGGGAAAAAGTTATAGCTATACATCTAGAATAGTATTTCTCAACCGTAGGTGATTTGGCAATGCATGGAGGTATTTTTGATGGCACAACTGTGTGCTGGGGTACTTGGCATCTGGTAGAGGACAAGATGCTGTTAAACATCATCCAATGCATCAGAAAGCCCCCTGCAACAAAGATTTATCCGGCCAGAATAGCTTTTTAGAGAGCTTCGAGTCTTTGTCCCATCAATTATTAAAATTAGGTGATGGCAGATAGTTTGAAATGCACATAGACCCTCAAAGTCTCTTCTCTCAAAAGCAGTAATTACTTCCTATCTTAATCATTATTTTCTTTGGTTATCATTTCTTAAAGATGATAAAAGCCATGAATTTTTTTTTGACAAAATATAGTGTTTGGATAGATTTTAGAGTATTTCTGGGTTGAGGTTAAATAATCTGTAACAACTGTCTGCCAGGCTCCCAGAAATAGATTCTGCTCTTCAGTTTATCTCGGAAATCATTCATCAATTAACCAACCAAAAGGCGAGCATTGTGGATGACATCCATTCCACCTTCGATGAGCTCCAGAAGACTTTAAATGTGCGGAAGAGTGTGCTGCTTATGGAACTAGAAGTCAACTATGGCCTCAAACACAAGGTAAGACTCTAGTCATCCTTATGTTGGTTTCAGAGTAGCTGCCTGTGTCCTAAAATGTTAGGATTTCGGGCAGCTGCCTACATCCTCGGTTCCTGGTATGCTCTGGCTGAAGAATGAGACCCACCAAAATAAGGCAAGCATGAAACAAAGTTTATTGAGGAAGAGCAAGATAGGTTTACCAAGCAAGATATGTTTGCCATAGACAAAGAACGGACCTCCCTTGTCATGAGAAAGAAAAAGCTTCGAAAATGGGCGGGAGTGTTCTCTTTTATACTGCTTACCTCCAGGGTTGGGCCTACCTCAAGGTTCAGTGGTCACCTTGGGACCAGAGTCTTACTGTGCATGTGGACCTCCCATGAGCCTCTCTAAAAGCCCATGGTGGGGGTGTGGACCACAATGTAGATTTAAGGTGATGACATGATAAATAGGATTAAGGCTGTTCTAGGTCACCTTCAAGATTCTATTGTACCTGTTGTTAGGCCCATAGGATAGAGAGGCAGGCTCAGTTCCCACTGACAGACTGGGGACAGGGGTGGTTCCTCCTTCTCAGGTGTGAACAGTCACTTCAGACAGGATTAAGGAGAGAGGGATGTGGGGGCCCTGCCCTTGCTTGTCCTTTTTCCCTGGGAGAGCTGGATTTCTAGCTACCTACCTAACACAGGTATTCTACAAGAGACATGACATAGAGGGTGCTTCACTGTACTAGCTCATTGGTTCTAAGAGCAGTACCAGGGACTCAAATGTGTCTTTAAGTGTCACCGTTGTATAGTAAACTATATTTTTCACTTAATTATCCAGCTATTCTTTTCTTTCTTGTTTTCAGCAAAACCCTGTAAAGTTTCAGTTCATAATTTTACAGAAGTAAAGGGTGAATATAATGTAATGCTTTTCACGATTTAGGGTTAAACTGGATTGTTTCCCTACCTCAATTATAATGTGAAATAGTCTCTTAATTGCTCTCAGACCTACACCAACCTGTTAGTCAACTTCAAAGCAAACCCTGACTGCAGCCTTTGTCTAACTCGGCTGGTCTGTCCACAAAACAGTGGAATGAAAAGCTTCTGACGTTTAGGTGTGGGTGGTTGATTTGATTAGTTTCTGTTCCTCTTAGGTGGTGACAATGGAGCTTTGGGCATTAGGGAGAGGTACAGAATAATAATAGTTCACGTCAGGCATAAAGGCTTAGCAGTTTGTCTGCCAGCATACATAGTGGTGTTTCTGTTTGTCTCTATGCAAAACACATGACCCAGAAAATACACGTGTGGCAGAGTCAGGGCAAGGCGGAAGGCAAAACTCTGCCAGGAATGTGACTTAGGATTCTGCACGGGACCGACGTTCCTGGCTGGCGGAGGGCACGTCCCGTGGGCTGAGCTCACGCCCTATAGAAAACGCTCACCAGGCCTCTGGCTTCCCCGCAGGTCCTCCAGTCGCAGCTGGATACTCTGCTGCAGGGGCAGGAGAGCATTAAGAGCTGCAGCAACTTCACAGCGCAGGCCCTGAACCATGGCACGGAAACGGAGGTGCTGCTGGTGAAGAAGCAGATGAGCGAGAAGCTGAACGAACTGGCCGACCAAGATTTCCCCTTACACCCGCGCGAAAACGACCAGCTGGATTTCATCGTGGAAACCGAGGGGCTGAAGAAGTCCATCCACAACCTCGGGACCATTTTAACCACCAACGCGGTGGCCTCCGAGACGGTAGCCACAGGCGAGGGGCTGCGGCAGACCATCATCGGGCAGCCCATGTCCGTCACCATAACGACCAAGGACAAAGACGGCGAGCTGTGTAAAACCGGCAACGCTTACATCACGGCGGAGCTGAGCACGCCCGACGGCAGCGTGGCGGACGGCGAGATCCTGGATAACAAAAATGGCACCTACGAATTCCTGTACACCGTCCAGAAGGAAGGGGACTTCACCCTCTCTCTGAGGCTGTACGACCAGCACATCCGGGGCAGCCCGTTCAAGCTGAAAGTCATCCGCTCGGCTGATGTGTCTCCCACCACCGAGGGTGTGAAGAGGCGCGTGAAGTCCCCGGGCAGCGGCCACGTGAAGCAGAAAGCTGTGAAAAGACCCGCGAGTATGTACAGCACTGGCAAGCGAAAAGAGAACCCCATCGAGGACGATTTGATCTTTCGAGTGGGTAAGGACAGCCCGAGAGAGGCTATAATTAAGGGATAACTGGGGCGGTGTCACTGCAGGTTGGAGTATCACAGCCCTAAATTTCTGCCCGAAGGTGTTGGGAGATACATGGATATAAAATTTGATATAACTTATTAGGTGGGTTTATGTCGTCCCCTCCTTTTTTGAATTTCTACGTTGCATTGTAGAAATTCACAAACTGGAAATAAGCAAAAACAGAAATAGAATAATCACAGCACCCATAATCTGGAAATTAAGGAAAATATTGGCAATCTCCGCCCCCTCCGCCCCATGCCTAACTCACAGTTAGGGAGATTCTTCTTTCTCGGACGAGGCATTTTTCTGAAATTTGCCAGCTCCTCCTGTACCAGCTGTCTCCCTGACACTGCTTCTGCCCTGCTTGGGTGTGAGGGGCAGGGGTGCATTTTAAATTAAGTTGAAGTCACTTCCAGCTGTGTGTAGCGAGAGAGCAGCCCCCTAAAAGGAAGGATGGGTGAAAACTTGGAGAAAGGAATGGGGTTAGGGCATCAGGGACAGAAGCAAAAATAGTGTTGGATGAGCCAAGAGATTTGGGGATGCACGTGGCCATTCCCTCTAACTCATTGGCGCCTTTCTCTCCCTCTCTTAACTAAGTATGTTCTCAGTAGAAAGCAAACTAAATGTAAACAACAAAGTGCCTGATAATTCTTGAGGGGACAAGAGTCTACATTTCAATTTCTAAAGGTAGCTGCTGCAGCACACGTCTTATTCTCCCTCTCCAGTCTTACAACTACAGTACCTCCAAAAGGGCGCTGCACAGCATACTAACTGACATGCAGGAAAACAGTTCTGTAGCTCAAATAAAATGGCTAAACGAAAGAAACAGATTTCTTTTCTTTTTCTTTTTTTTAACTGCAGAACTTCTCAGAACCTTTAGAATCTGCTGTTGTGCTCTGTTAGTCTCTGAGGCAGGAGAGGGATAGCAGGCAGCGCTTCTGAGCATAGAACATTGTTCTGTGGAGCAAGTGGGAAACTAAGGCTCCTTGGAAAATTTTGAACAAAGCTGTTCTGCGTTAATAGTTCAGGTGGAATCTTGGTAAGGACTGTGGTATGATATGCAACTTGTCTACTCAGAGCAGGGAGGCCCTCAGATGTTTGCTGGCTTATGTGCAGGGTAGGTACAGAGATTGTTGATACACCCCAAAGCAGAGAAGACAAGCTGGAGCGGGTACACATTTGGGAATGTCCCAGGTCTGCCACTCCAGTTCCACCACTTGCCTCAGCTTTGGGCAGATCTTTCTGCTTCTGTGAACTTCACTTTCCAAATACATACAGAGGGTAAACTCTTTTTTCCTCCTACCCACTGAGAAATGCAGCTATCGTGACTCACTGGCTCTGGTGGAGAGGTATTTAAATGTTTAAACATTTGTAAAGAACTCAGAGCACCTGGCATGCAGCGCGTCTCAGTTTATTAATGAAGTAAAAATGCTGTCTTAATTTGCTAAAGCTGCTACAACAAAATACTATTGTCTGGGAGGCATAAATTATGAACATTTATTTTCTCACAATTCTAAAAAACAAACTGTTTTGGAGTTACAATTCCAACATTAAGGTGCTAGAAAGGTTGGTTTCCTTGGAGGCCCTTGTCCTTGACTTGCAGATGGCCACCCTCTTGCTGCTTTGTCCTCACATGGTTGTCGTGGGTGGCTGGCACCCATGGAGTCTCTTCTTTTTCTTATAAGGACACTAACTGTGTTGGATTAGGGCCCTACCTTAACGAGCTCGTTTTAACTTAATTACTGCTAATCCACATACAGTTCCATTCTGAAGTACTGGGAGATGGGACTTCAAAATGTGAATTTGGAGGAGGGGACATACTTCAGCCTGTAATTACTATCTCAGGTGTGTAGGAGCAGAAAGAAAGGCAAGCCCCTTACTGGCCCACTTCTTTTTTTTTAAATTGACAAGTAAAAATTGTACATAGTTATGATATTCAACTTTTTTTCATATATGAGGTCCAGCAGTTAAGTTCGAGAACTCATCCTGGGGGAAATGCTACATACCTCATTGCTGAATATCACTATGGCCACCTTTGAAGTGCTCCCCTTGGGAAGCTATGCCCCAGGGCCAGTGCCTAGTCCACACTTCAAACCACTTTTTCTAGGATGAGTTGGCAAGCTTAATTGTCAGACCTTGTAAGACAGTGCCTCTGATGGTCATTCTAGAAGAATTCCAATATGGCATACTGCCTTTTAGGTTCACCCATACTGTCACAAATTGCAGGATTCCCTTCCTTTTTAAGGCTGAATAGTATTCCATTTTGTGTATATACCACTTTTTCTTTATTCATCTGTTGATGGATACTTCAGTTGATTAATAACTTTTGTGATATTTCATAGCTGTTGTGAATAGTGCTGAAATGAACAGAGGAGTGCAGCTATGTCTTGGAGATACTAATTTCATTTCCTTTGGATAGGCTGGGCACAGCAGCTCACACCTGTAATCCTAGCACCCTGGGAAGCCAAGGTGGGTGGATTGCTTTAGCTCAGGAGTTCAAGACCAGCCTGAGTAATAATAGCAAAACACCGTTTCTACTAAAAATAGAAAAACTAAGGCAAGAGGATCATTTGAACCCAAGAACTTGACGTTGCTGTGAGCTATAATGCCATGGCACTCTGGTCAGAGCAAAAAACAAAAGAAATTCCTTTGGACATATACCCAGAAGTGAGATTGCCAGATTATATGGTAGTTCTGTTTTTGTTTTTGTTTGTTTTGTTTTTGAGACAGAGTCTCACTCTGTTGCCCTTGGTAAAGTGCCATGGAGTCATAGCTCACAGCAACCTCAAACTCTTGGGCTCAAGCAATCCTCTTTTCTTAACCTCCCGAGTAGCTGGGATTATAGACACCCACCACAATGCCCAGCTATTTTTTAGAGATGGGGTCTCGTGCTTGCTCAGGCTGGTCTTGAACGCATGAGCTCAGGCAGTCCACCCATGTCAGTCTCCCAGAGTGCTAGGATTATAGGCATGAGCCACCATACCCGGCCTCTATTTTTAATTTTTTAAAGAACCTCGATAGTGTTTTCCATAATGGCTGTACTAATTTGCATCCTCACCAACAATATACAAGGGTTCCTTTTTTTCCCCATATCCTCACCAACACTTGATTCCTTTGGCTTTTTTGATAGTAGCCACTCTAAAGGTATGAGGTGATATCTCATTGTGGTTTTAATTTGCATTTCTCTGGTGAGTAATGATGGTTAGCTTTTTTCATAAATTGGTCAGCCACTTGTGTATCTTCTTTGCAAAGTGTCTGTTTAGATCTTTTACCCATTTTTTTTTTTTTTTTGAGACGAAGCCTCAAGCTATCCCCCCTGGGTAGAGTGCCATGGCATCATGCTCACAGCAACCTCCAACTCCTGGGCTCAAGCGAGTCTCCTGCCTCAGCCTCCTAAGTAGCTGGGACCACAGGCGCCCGCCACAACGCCTGGCCATTTTTTGGTTGCAGCCATCATTGTTGTTTGGCGGGCCCAGGCTGGGGATTCGAACCTGCCACCTTAGATGTATGTGGCTGGCGCCTTAGCTGCTTGAGCCACAGGTGCTGAGCCATCTTTTACCCATTTTTTAATCAGGTTATTTGTTTTCATACTTTTGAGTTGTTTGAGTTTCTTATACGTTTTAGATATTATCCCTTTACCAGATGCATGGTTTGCAAATATATTTCCCCATCTGTAGGTTGCCTCTCTCTTCATTGTGGTGATTGCTTCTTTTGGTAGCTTTTTAGAGATATAATTCCATTCATCTATTTTTGGTTTTGTTGCCAGTGCTTTTGGATTTATATTCAAAAAACCCATTGCCCAGACATGTCATAGAACTTTTCCCCTGTGTTTTTTTCTAGTGGTTTTATAGTTTCAGGTCTTGTGATTGTATCTTGAACCCTAGAGGTGATTTTTGTACATGATGTGAGGTGAAGGTCTGATTTCATTCTTCTGCATGTTCATGTCCAGCTTTCCCAATACCATTTATTGAAGAGCTAACCTTTCTTCACTGTGTATTCTTGGCATCTTTGAGAAATGAATTGACCATAAATGTGTAGATTTATTTCTAGACTCTCTGTTCTATCCCATTAGTGTATGTGTCTGTTTTTGTGCCAGTATCACGCTAGTTTGATTATTATACCTTTGAAGTAGATTTTGAAATCAGGTAGTATGATGCCTGTGGCTTTGTCTCTTTGCTCAAGATTGCTTTGGTTATTTAGGGTGTTTTGTGGTTTCAGATGAATTTCAGGATTGCTTTTTCTATTTATATGAAAAATATCATTGGTATTTTGATAGGATTGAACTGTAGAACATTTTGGGTAATAGGCACATTTCTTCCTATCCATGAACATGGGATATCCTTCCATTTCTTTATTTTGTGTTAATTTCTTTGATCAGTGTCTTACAGTTTTCTGTGTATGGATCTTTCACCTCGTTGGTTAAATTTATTCCTAAACCGAGTTTGTTTATTTTTGTATTCTTTAACCTTACATTCAAATCCCGTGTCTAGTCAAAAGACAGGCTTCACGATGCAATATTACAGCTCGAAAAACATTTCTGGGGTACCTTTTGTCTGCCAGGTATTATACTAGGTGGTGGGAATACAGAAATGAAAGAAATGAGATCTGGGCGGCACCTGTGGCTCAAAGGAGTAGGGTGCTGATCCCTTATGCCAGAGGTGGCGGGTTCAAACCCAGCCCCGGCCAAAAACTATTAAAAAAAAAAGTAAAAAAGAAACGAGATCTCCCTCTTGGAGCTTATAGTTTGGAATGACCGATGTATGAGCAACTAATTTAAATACCGTGAGTTAGGTGACAAAAAGCTATAGAAATCGAAAGGAATTTAAACCATAACTTGAATGATGAGTAGAATTTATCTAAGTTCACAGGTAGAAATGGCATCCCAGACAGAAGGACTAGCAAGAAGGGATAAGGACAGGTGATCGATGTTCTGGGGGACTCATCCCATGAAGCATGAGCAACAAC